CTAAGCAACAGAAATATGAATGTGAAATAACATCAGCCTCTAAAGGTATTTACTAAAACCAAAAAAGGCTAAGGAAAGCAGTCTGTAGATACCTGAAATATGGGATATGATGTAGCTTATTTAACTGAAGAGGAGTGGGGTTTGGCTTCAGTCAGAACTTGTTTCTCCACATCAAAACCTGTCCTTCAGAAGCTGTTGGGGGTTTTTTTGCGCTGTCTTTTGTTCCTATTGATCAACAGAAAATTTGGACACAGAGAGGTCCATGCAAGTAATTTTCTTTTAAAAGGCAGAAAATGCTGTATGTTCTTGGTGTGTTTGCAACATGTAAACAAAATTACAGGTGTATGGCTATCAAAGCTGATCCTGACACACTGGTAACCTGTAGGGCAGTCTAGACATCTGTCTTCCACGTGTGTTTTCACCTAGGAGAACATTACACAGAGCTCTGTGAAGCAGTGATTCATAACAGCATGTACTTGAAATTACAAGTTTTCACTGTGTGTCTGCATAAAGCATTTGTTTTTTCATAGGCATACATAATTAAAAATGTTTTTAATTAAGCAGACATGTTTTGTGTTTGAAGGTTCTCTTGAGCCATCTTCTAAAATGAAAGTATTCTGTCCTCAGGAGATCCTAAAGCAACAGAGTCTACGGATGTTTGAGCTGGTCCAGAAGCATCCACCCCACTGGCCTCCTTTCATACCTCCAACCAAGCCAGAAGTGACCACCACAGGAGCAGGTCAGTACCCCCTCACAGTACAGCAGAGTGGTCCTCACCAAACAGGGATAATCACAGGTGGAACAACGAGGCTTTCCTGAGTGTCCAGCAATCACCACATGGTTAAATGCCTTATTCTTACTGAGTGTCAGACAGTTATCCAAACAGGCCACACAAGTGCTAGCACAGAGAGATATAGATAGATATATCTATAGATATATATGTGTGTGTATATATTTATAAAAATATATTTTTATATTCAATTATTTGTTTTTACAAAACTTTTAATCTTACAAAATACTTTGAAGGGCACATGCTGGAAAAGTGTTTTCATATTGTTTTTGTTTGGTGGGTTTTTAAGGAAACAAAATCAGACGTGTTTAGATTCTGAATTGTTTGGTTTTCTTTCAGAACTCATTGAATCCACTGACAAGCTATTTGAATTGGAAGAAGAATTTGAAATCCTGAGTGTATGAAGGAAACTGTGGTGGCCCTTCTGAGTATTGAACATATTGTTAGTATTATTTCATTGACTTAAATCAAACAGCCATGTTAGCCCCAAAGTGCCTGAAATTACAGATAACAGAGCACGAAAACCTGGTAGCATCCAAAACTCCAACAGTGACAGTTCCTTCTGTCAGTGAGCTTCCCCCGATGGCAAGGCAGTAAAAGACCTTATCATAAGACCCTTAAAGGGAACCTCTTTTTAATGTGTGTCTTTCCTGAAGACAAATGGACCTTTGAGATTAAGGCAAAAATCAGTTTATCAATGGGCTGTATGTCTGGAGAAAGAGACAACAGGAGATGGATCTTTCTTGCTCTCATATAATGCAATAGTTTAGTTCTTAAAGCAAAACAGTCTTCAGCTAAGGAGGATGTTTACTTCTGTTCCCTCCTGTGGGCTGCATTGTAGAGAAAAAAAATACATTGTCTTGTTTAAAAGATCGACTGGATCAGAAGAAAATTGTTTCCTTGTTAAATATTTTAACATGTATTTGAGCAACCACACTTTATTACAAAAATGTTTCTGTAAAAGGAACTGTGTCTAATGTATACGTTTTGCAATAGCCTTCCTGTTTCTGGGAAACCTCGAGAGGAACAGGAGACTCGAATAGTTGATACAGATCACAACCACTGTTACAGTTATCATACCTTTCACCTTGACCTTAAAACTCAAATCATTAAAACTTAGGCTGACTTTTCTTTTGGAGCTAAAAGAGTCAAAGGTGGTTTAACTGTACCTTATTTATTTTAAAAAAGATTTTCACAAGTTTCTCTGTTAGGGCACTTTATCTGTGCATCTAATAAATTTCTTAAGCTTTTCATAGGTTGTATGCTGCTATATTTTGTTAATTTCTTTGTGTGAACTAAATATAAACCACGTTATCTTAAAACTTAATATATAGGCATATGCAAATTACTTCATTTTTGGTTTTTGACTTGTTGCCTTTTGAAATCTGTTTTGGTAAAAGTGCCTTAATTCTCCAGGTTTATCAGAACAGCCTGTGTGGTATTATTTCTAAGGCAGAGTTATCTCTCTAGCAGCCATAAGAAAACCAATTCAGAATAATTAAAGGCAGAGATCTTTTAATCCAGTATCGAGTTGCTTTCTCCCCATTGTGGTCGTTTTGTTGTGGTAGGGGAATGGATGTGAGTCACACACCTTCATCTTCACTAATAAATGACAACTTAGAGAAATATGAATTCTGTCTCCTCTCACTTGCACTCTTGATCAGGGCCAGTGTGATTCCCAGGAAACACTTAACCAGGTCATATCTCATCTTGTTTGCCTTCAGTGTTTATTAACCACAGCTTGGAAACTATACACTTAGCAAAAAATACCATTTTTTTAAAAAAAAAACACCAAAGCATTATTTCTTAATTGATAAATGAACTTACTGTTCATGTAACAGCAGTTGTAGCCCTCTCCTCCCCACAGACAAAAATGAAAGTGAAGCCCTTGATCTGGAACAATCAGTCTTGAGCCG